CTCTCTCTCTCTCTCTCTCTCTCTCTCTCTCTCTCGGCTATCGTAAATGTCAGAGCACGGAAAGTATCCCGAGGCCGCAGCGCAGCGGCGGGGCAACGCTCGCTGCCCCCGCGCGCTTCAGGGCCTGGCTGGCCCGGGCCCGGGGCGGCCGCGCCCGGGATGTACACGTGACTCAGGGTGTAACGAGGGCGCCAACCTCAGCCACACCAACGAGAAGCGCTGCTGGGGCACGCGGATGATACACAGTAAATAACAAAATTAGTCATCAATCCCGCTGCTTCGTAAAAACGTAGGTGCATCAGTAAAGGTCTGAAAGTTATTGGATACGCAATGCACTCAACACTTCACGGTTTGCTGATAAATACATTATCTGTCTCTTGAGGGCTTTCCCTCTACTCTAGCGCATGGAGGGTGGAGCTGCGTGTGAGTGATATGGCCTGGTGAGGGAGTGTGGAACTTCTCGCAGAACTTCTCTACAGAAGCCAGGGGCTCCAAAAAGTGAGATTCTCGGTGCCTCTGTGCTTCTGCACCCCAAAAATGGGTTCTTAAATTAAGTACGTTTCGTGTACGTACACTAACAAAGAAAACTCAAAGAGTTGTAATAAATATGCCTTTAGAAGTGAATTAAAAATCGCCAACCCCCATTGGACCGTCACCTTTACCATACCCTTAAAAGGCATTAAAAATTCAACAACCCTGGAAAAGGATTCAGTTTGACCCGTTTTTCCTGTGTGGTTTTCTTTGGTTTGTGAGAGGGTATTCCTCAAAATAAGCAAAATTATGCCTTAAAAGTACAGGAAAAATGTACGTATATCAGGCGAGAATATTGATACTGTGACGCATTTTTTTGAGGTGTTCGCCCCTAATCTCCCTCGTACAACGTGCAGCGGCGGCGGCGGCCACGAGGGTCGCGCCTCTCTGCAGCCTGCGTCACTTCACGGCCTACACCTCCCCTTCCCCCGTGGGGGAGAGGTCATTACTTTGGTATCACTGCGTTCCAGGGAGCGTTCCAGGCGTTCCAGGCAGCGCGCGCGCGCCGCCCCAGGACATCGATTCCAGGGGTGCGCGGCCCCATGGCCCCGGGCCGCCCGGGCGCCCCAGCAGCCCTCACGGGCAACATCCACCCCGTGTTTGCCTTGGGTAAGCATTTCAGACATGGCAGGCGGGCCGGTGATAATTCCTCAAGCTCCTGCCAGTCGCCTCGAGGGTCGTAATCAGAGGGTCTGAACCAGCGGGACTGGAGGGGGACGCCTAAAAAAATATGTACCACACTGCTGGAAACGCAAGTGTGTGAATGTCACACACTTGTAAGTAGGTTTGTGAATTTCAATTCGTACACAAAAGGGATTATTTATTTAGTTCATTTATAGAGAGTTCATAGATCCTATGCGCGCAAGGCTCGTATAGAGGGGCAGTTTAAGGGAGTAAAGGTGTAAACTTTCTACTCGAAATTTACACAATTGTGGCCTTTTTTTCACATCTACAAGTGTGCGACATCCACGCACACTTTGGTTTCCGGTTCATCTTTGTACTCACGGGTGCCATCGAAGCGTGTGGCGATGGTATCAAGGAAGGTGTTTTGAGGCGCCAAGAGTCCCTTGCGCGCCGGCATCCTCCGGGGCCACCGCCTGCAACAGATGGAGGAAACGAAACATTAAACATCGCGACCGTCGCGCGCGCATTGCCGGCCGTCGCCGCTGGGCGTTGTGACGTCGTGGTGAACCTTTGGTTTGACGCTTCAACGCGTCAGTTGGCGTGACTCGTCAGAATTAGTAACTCGCAGTCAAGAGAAAACCGATTTATGGCGAGTGTCTACGCCCCTGCCGCCCTCCCCGCCCCGCCCGCAGAGCACCCCGCACAGCCCAACGTACACACTCCACGCAAAGGCCCCGCAAAGGCCCCGAGCGATTTCATCTCCTTTGTCAATAATTTGGCGCAAGTGAGTCAATATCTCCCTGCCCTGCCCCACCCCACCCCGCTCCGCCCGGCCCCTACCTTCTCACTGGGGGTATTTGGTCGCTAGTGAAAGACTTTATACTGGCTGAGACGATGCTGAGGCGAGTGGCTCAGCGATATTACATCTGTCTTCGCCGCCATGAAAACTCAAACGTTGTATGTCATTATTATTATTTATTTATTGAGTGAGTATAGAGTGAAGTGAGCGAGTGCGCGAGTGCGTATGTGAGTACCGTCTGCAGCCCGCGAGATTACAAATGCTTTGATGGAAAGCCGCGCGTCTCGTAGCCGTTCCGTTGCGGCCCCGAGCAAGTTTAAATTAGCCCGCCAATAGAGTTGGCCCGCGGGCGGAAAATTAGTTTCCTGGTTGGGCAAACACCACCTCCAGTGAAAAGCCAGCCGGATGGCGGAGAGGCGCGCCTAGGCGGGGACGGGGACAGTCCTTTTAAGACCCTTAAAGGAGGGCCGGGTACACCGGCGGAGCATCTGGCGCGGTGGGGTGGGTGAGGCGGAGCGGGGCGGCCGCGGTGCTCTCGAGCCATCACATCAAATGCCTCGTCGCCACAAAGAGCCGGTCCGGCTGTTTTACGTTTTACAGCCAATCACGCGGCACTAATAATAAAACTTGCAGACAGCGCGGCATCTGGCGGAGATATTCAGACGCGTTGTGATATTGGCCGACGCGGTGCGGTGCAGGTACGCGCGCCTAGAGATGGAGACGGACAGAAACAAAAAAATTGGCATTCGATTCGGGTACAATTGTTAAGTGCCGCATGAAGCTGCTCAATCGCGATGTACGTCCAGTCCCGCCCCACTTTACACAGAGTGACATGTTGTGGGGCTGTCACTCCTCAGCCATTCATTCTACAAAGAACTACACTATGAAAATGCAACGGTAGTACTGCGCGTAAATCATTCTATGGCGTGTCTATGTTCTGCACTTGTTTCATTTTTTTGTTAATTTGATACATCTTGTCAACCTACAATTTAAGCGCGTCGAAGACAAATGCAGAAAACTTTTCGCAGATGTATGACCCCTCACCGCGGGTTGAAAATTTGCATGGGTGCCAGACAGGAGGAGTGAACGACGGAGTACACGTAAGCCACTTTGCTCTCCAGCAGGGCCGAAAAGGGTTTCATCGCGGCTCATTTGGGATGCGCGCGGGCACCCGCGGGAACGACACCGTAGCAGTGCTGCCAACACCAACGCCACTCGGGCGAAACACTGTTGCCAACTCGGGGGCCGCTTACGAGCCGAGCAGGCAGGGCGCAGCACCCCACAGTGGGGTGTGGGAGCTAGGGACGATGCAAATGAAGTCCCCATATAAGCACTTTCAGGATTACACTGCGAGTACACGGCGGCGGCGGCGGCGGTCCAGGCCGCGCGCATCAAAATGTCGGCGCGGGCTGGTTAATTCGATGTGAAGATGGAAAACTAACTGCTCACGGGCGCGCAAGCTGCGCGAGCTGCGCGGAGGGCCCTTCAGGTTGCGGAAAGTTTCACACGACCGCGAGTAAGGCAGTCAGACAGGCAAGACGGACGGGGAGGAAAGGGTAGGGGGGAATAAAAGCCGACGCGTGAGGGCTTCGTGTCGAGAATGACGCTAGAGTAGGGAAAAAATTCCTTGAATCGTACAGAGTTATTGCTGGGGCTAACTGCAAAAATACACATTATATGATAAAAAATTTAAATAGTACGGACGGTTACCTTCGCATTTGTAAACAAACTATTTGATCGCAGTAGTCTGCAGTGCAAAACAACCTCCCTCCCTCCCATCCCAACGCTTTCTTTGCTAACAATTTGCAGGGCTGGGGCAAGGCAGACTGCTGGTCTTGGCCGCGGTTCAGCGGGACGACCCCCGTTGAGCTGGGCCGGGCGGGCGGGCCCTAGTCGGGTCGGATCCGCTCGGGCGATAGTGGTCGGAAGCCTCCCAGCAGGCCTCCGTACATTTACCACCCTCCCCTACTCCACCTCTTCTTCCTTTGAACTACCACCCTCTGCCCCTCATCCCCCTGCACCCTTTAAACTACTCCACGGGCAGGTCGAGTTTAGCGGATCTCGCTGAACGTAAAGCGGCGAATGGTACCTGTTGCGGCGACCTTCCCGGACCTCTCGCTCCCGGACCCCCAAGCTACTACTACTATTATTGCTGAGCCAATAAAACTCACCTTTATTTGTGCGTGATGCTCCTTCCCCTCGGCGGTTCGCTGGCGTGGCAGCACATGGCGGGCGCGAGGTAAACTACCTGCAGCGTTCGGCCCGAGGCTGCCCGATCAAACCCGACGAATTCGGAACACTCTTTATCACGTTTAGGGAGAGAAGGGCGAATTTGAACGGATGCTCTGACGTATGTAAATTTTGTTTTCGGCTGTTTCCGAAATTACGAATGGGCGGGGTTTAAGTCACGTGCGCAAGAACGCGGCGGGTTCGCAGAAACAGCAGGGCGGTGGCATCAGCAACGCTGGAAATGGCAGTCGAAGAGGCGGCTGCGAACTCATCAGCTCGGCATCTACAACAGAAAAAAACATTGGAAACTGTTGAGTCATCGTCGACGTCGGTGCCGGTCAAATACAGTATTTTAACATTGCGCACCAAGAAATCCATTTTTTAGGGAAAATAAATTTTATCAACCGTATCGGAAATTTCGTGGCAGAAATCAAGACTTATTTTTCGTTCGTTTGACGAAAAACAACTCGTTAAGGAAAATGCAACGGTAAAAAACGACAAAAAAAAGACTCATTTTTCGAGGAAAACTTTAAGGGACTTTCATTACTAAAGGAAACTTCTCCGATCTCGTCTCAGATTTTGAGGGATCTTCTCAAAAATGAGAAAACATCCCTCATTTTTTAGGATTTCCTTGAAATTTGAAAAGTTTCCCTCAAACCAAGAAAATTTCTCGTAGTTTTCCCTTTCCCCTAAAAAAAAATGAGACGTTGTTTTCACCATGTGCAAGTTTTGTCAAATTAACCAAATACGGTTAAGCAGAACAAAATTTGTCTTTTTTGGGATGCGACGGAGTAATTTCATTGGTTGGGGCAAAGTTATGATTTTCTGAGTGTGGGGCGACCGTGTGCCAGCCAGGAGCCAGGGTGTGGCGCCGATAACATCTCCCTTTTCCTGTGCGGCGCGGGCGCTGGCCACCCCGCCCCCTGCGAGCCCAAATCCAAGTGGGTAATGCGTGCCCGGCCCCCTCCATTGGCGTGGAAGAGCCCTCCCCCCGACTCACTCCGCCAGCGGAGATCGAATGTTGAATGGCCACCGCCAGCCCCCGGCGGCTTGCTGCCCTTGCTCCCGGCCCACCGTATGGAGGAGGAAGAGATACGAATGGCCAGCCACGTGGTCGTGCCGTACGAAGAGCCGTGGGAGAGCCGCCCCGAGGGTCCTGTGGGTCCTGCGGGTCCCTGTGGGTCCTTCGGGTGCTGGGGGTCTTGTGGGGAGCCCTGCGGCCGGAGCTCGGGGACGGCGGCGGCTGGGTCATCTGATTCACGGTGGCCGACTCTCCGTGTTCCCACCTGAGTGCCAAATCCAAATCCCCTACATTTCACTAACTTCCGCTTCCTGCCCCCACCCTCTCCGTACTCTACCATCTCCCCC